AAAGTGAGATCACGCTAAACTGCTATAAAAGACCTTTCTCATCCGTCACTATATAGAAAAGTGTGACCAACCTGCTTCGATAAGGTCAACTGACTAGGGTCAATATTAGGTTCCGGGTGACACGGTTGAATTAACCCGGAGAATAATCTACTGAAATCGGATTCCTGGGTTTTGATCAATGTCTGGAATAATACCAGTAAACTCTCTAAGGCAGCACCTTGAACAAGAGTGGATTGCACAAGCTTGAAAACATTTGGCATGATATCGTTATATACCGATACCAGTGATGAAGGATTGGTGCGTAAGATTGAAACCACAGTGTTTAATGCTAAGGGTAGTAGGTGAAGGTCTTGGTCAGAAATGTGTGGAGTTAATTCTTCGAGAACACGAGAATAATTCTCTGGACCAAGGAGCATGCCATACCTAACAATTTAATAGGTAAGTTTTAGAATGTTGAGTAAATTATTAAAAAATTATTTACGTACCGCCGGACAAAGACCTCCAGGCATACTAATGTGGCTACCTTCAATTGGCGATGACTCTTTCTGAGCAGAACTGCAACATCCTGGATGGCTCCTTTTATGGCCAACCTCACATCATCGCTTTCGCAAACTGTACTATCAGCAATCATCGTGAAAGTTTTAACTGTGGTCAAACGTGTGACCTCATTTCTCAAACGATCCAGTAACAAAGGCATACACGTCTTAAGTTGATCTTGCAAATTATCACCGGCCTGAGATATTAGAACTCCCAAGCACATGATAGACCGTTCTTTGACTTCTTGATCCGCATCAGTGGTTGAGAGGCGGGCCATAGTGACATCGTAAATGTCCAATATATAATTTCTGAATTCGGGATTTAGCGGTTGCACATTATACGTTTGGGTAGATTCCTGAAATTCGATGGGACGGATGACTTTAACCAACTCGATGCAAACCAAAAAAGCCTCTGATGTAATTTTATAGAATTTATCTTTGACGGAATTGATTATCGGAGGACATAGACGCGAGAGATAATTGTGAAAAACTTGAGGTGGATGAGCCTTAAGCAACTGACGAAGGAAGCTTAAGGTCTCGATCTTAAGATTAGAATTTGTGCTCGCTTGGTGATGAGAAGTATCAGATGACGTTGACAAAGAGCTTTCAATTGCAGGAATAAACATGCTAAGATGATTATCAAGCCCTCCGTTTAACACAGTGACCAATTCGCGCAGAAGCAAGAAACCCGTTTGTTTGGTTACAATTGATTTCGAAACCAATTGTTTTGATAGATTACGACTTAATTTTGGGACTAGATTTCGCAGCATCTGTTTGGGACTATTCCAAGGTATCAATCATGTCAAATTACGCGACCCATCAGAAATGTTTAGGATTCTCTATATACACGAAAATACCTTTCTTGTGATTCACTTGGACCCACAGCTCTTCGACGCTTAGGCTCATGATCATTTTCTCTTTGAATATAACTTTCCCCGCCGTATACGTAGGTTTGTCTGAGAAGAACGATGAACGTTTGAAGTACATCTACACGAACAGATTCCTCCCGTTCCTTGAATCGATTGACTAAAGCTGGTGCAACACTGTGATACAATTGTACAAGGAGTTCGTGTCTCGTGCCAATAATTGCTGCGAGGAGTTTTGAAGAAGACCTGCGTACTTTCCAAGAGATATCATCATCATCCGAATAGTCTCTGAATAAATCAAAGATGATATTTATTATAGGTTCGACCAATAAAAAGTAGAAACTGTGATACAATATGCGCACCCTTCATCTTCCTCCTCTTCATCATCTTCTTCCTCTGTTGCCATTTCTTCATCTTCGTCCATCTCGGCGTCTTCGTCTTCTTCCATATCCCCACTATCATAATTCGGATCATATTTCAAGTATACCAAGCAAATGTCAATGATGGCATCGATATTAGGCGTGATTTCCGTCGGACAACGCAATACAAATGACTCGAGCGCCTATTTGAATTGCAACGAATTTGTGATTTAATTAACACTTTCTTTTACTTTCGTTGGGAAGCTGAAATTGGTCTATTAGTTTACCTGTAAACAATTTTCGCGTAACTCATCATCATTCACGTCGATATTATTAATCACAAGCGGTAAAAATTGGGGCAAATATTTGCCCAACCTTGGAGCGCTTGACCGACTAAGGACACAAATACGTAAAAAATATGTTCGATTAAACTGAGCGCCCATAAAAGCTCGATTTTACCTTAATGTACCAACACATTGAATTAAAGTCTTGAGGTTATCTTTCTGATGTTGCGCTTTCTCAAAACTTTCTAATAATTTCTGTACCAATTCATCGAAAAGGTCATCAGGTGTGTGTGTCACAAGATTTCCTGAAAAGTTTACGAAAAGAAATTTCTGATCAATAGATGTCTCGAATCTTAATTAGAGTTAACCTAAACCAACCAAGCGCGATAGTGGTTCTCTTCCTAAACGCCGGACGCGAATGACTTAGATTATTTATCAAACAGGTCTGAATTTTCTTTTGCGATGATACATTATTGGCGACCGAACTACCAAAGCGAGCAAGAAGTTCACTCAAGATATCAAGGGTATCCATTTGTACTTCATAAGTTGCATTAGCCTGTATAATAAAATGATTGGGAAATAAAAAAATTATCAATAAAAGAATTGAAGTGAAAATTGAAAAAAAGATGTAACCCACATTCCCTAGTTGGTCGAGAAGTTTCGGGATCAACTTTTGCATCACGTTGCCTGCACTTTGTGAATTACTTGGTATTTCAACAATAACTGTTTTCAACCCTACAACGTGGAGGAAAATCACGTTACTAAATTAATCCGATAGTAGAATGCAAGATAAATAGTCACATATACCAATTCCCGCAATATCTCGGAGCTCTTCCTTGTTCTTTTGAGTGGCGTAGTCACACAGCTTGTCAACAATTTCTCCTAGCTGCGCCTCGCGAACTTTTTTGACAAGTGGTGCAAGGCTAAATGTAGATCATTTTTGAGTCAAGAAATCTTTTTTTTTAACTCAAGAAATTTAATTTACCATTTAACAGCCAAATTCTGCACTTCACCATTAGCATCATCCATGAGTTTTAAGACTTTTTGAACCACCCTTCTCTCAGTAGATTCTTCCAAGGTAAACCCATCCTTTTGGAGCTCATTCATTAAATCATTGGTGGCCATGTACCGAAAATCGGTATCACTCGAGTCCATCTGAAACACCAAGTGGCGAGTTAACTTGTGAATTTACTTAAATATGGCGAACACCTTTTTTTTGTTGTGGACGATGAAAAACTGATTACAGTAATAGTAACAGTAGAAATGTTTAATTCACCTTCTCCAACAACCCGACCACCAGATAAGAATTGCTACTCATTTTCGATATTCCCTGGGTGATAAAGGATTAGGTTAGCTATTGAAAAAGAAGAAAGGATCTTTTTAGCATCGGATCGGATTCACTTCCAATAAAAATATTAACCAAATTACCCTCGTGCAAAATTATATTCTCATCCTTTTCGAGGTAATTTAAGTTTTTATAAATCATATAGAAAGGACACGTGTTTTTACATAAAACACCAGAATTCCAGAATTAGAATTAATATGCCGATATACACGTTCTACAATATAATTTCTTTTTTGGACCGCTCGACTTAACTTCACAACTTATTATTTTGACACGCATAATTGCTTTAAGTATGCTATAAGAAAAAGCCCACTATTCTCTAGAATTTTGTTTACTGACAACAAATAGCATAAACCTGACAGAGAAAAAAAGCGTACCGGTAAACGTTCTGTGTATTAAATTTAAGTAATAAGGCGACTGAAACTTTGAGTATTGATCCACTTGAAATAACGTTCACACAAAGGCTTTTTTATGAAAAGCAGGATTTCTGTAACTTCCCAAAATCGGTTTTTATTGGAAGATGAAAAAAGATGAACACGTCATCACTGGTTATAACACGTACTAATCATTACGTAAGAAATTGAAACTGGGATTCGATTTTTAGGTCTGCTCAAAGATGCCAACTGCCACTTCACGACCAGTTGCTCAAGGTGCAGTCGTCATAGTTCACCCGTTGGTGCTTTTGTCTGTTGTCGATCACTATAATCGTGTAGCCAAAGACACCTCAAAACGAGTAGTAGGCGTTCTCTTGGGTCAAAATAATGGTAAAACCGTAAATGTAGCAAACAGCTTTGCTGGTAGGAAAATTTACCTTTAACAAATAGTAATAACTTTGAACAAAAATAATCACCACCAAGTATCTAAAGGCTTAATATTACTTAAAACCTAGTTCCATTCGAGGAAGACGAAAAGGAACCATCGGTATGGTTCTTGGATCATAATTATGTGGAATCTATGAACGACATGTTCAAAAAAGTCAACGGTATGGTATTTGTCGGTCATTCGCATATTTATGAAAAATTGAATAGAGTCTAATTCTTGTTTTCGATCTTAGCGAGGGAAAAAATGATCGGCTGGTATCACAGTGGACCAAAACTTCGAGCATCAGATTTGGAAATCAACGAATTATTCAAAAGATACACTCCAAACCCCGTTTTAGTAATTGTGGACGCAAAACCCAAGGACATTGGTATACCAACGGATGCATACTTCGCCATTGAGGAGATAAAGGATGTAAGTGTGATGTTATTGTTATCAGCGATCTGTGTGCGCTCCATTTATCAATCAAAAAATTTTTAATAGGACGGTACTGCTACCACCAAAACATTTATGCATGTTCCTTCGCAAATCGAAGCGGAAGAGGCGGAAGAGATAGGAGTCGAACATCTTCTACGTGATATCAAAGACAACGCCGTTGGCACACTTTCTACCCGTGTCACCGACCAATTAAATTCATTGAAAGGTCTTTGGTCTCGGTTAGAAGAAATACGAGATTATCTCCAAAAAGTTGTCAACGGCTCTTTACCTGTAAATCACCAGATAATCTATAATCTTCAAGATATCTTTAATTTACTACCGAACCTTAATGCGAGCGAAACAGTAAAATCTTTCTCCGTCAAGACAAATGATCAGTTACTGGTAATTTACCTGTCTTCCTTGATTCGGGCCGTCATTGCACTTCATAATTTAATCAACAATAAAATCGAGAATCTGAAAGGGGAAAGTGTTCAAGTTGAGGAAGAAAAGAAGGATGAGAATAAAATAAAGGAAACAACAAAAGATTCGAAAGAAGCAATAGATACAAAAGAAACCAAGAAATAAATCATCTTACAATAGAATGTATTTATGATGAAATATACATATAAGAATGGTTTTATTTTTGGTCAATTGTGATTCAACATAAAACATCATATGTGCAAAAATGACTAATTTTAAGATAGCTCGTCTTTTTAATTATCGTTAGATGCTCTTATGATTAATACTATTCCGTTAGCATTCTACAATAGACAACTCAGTTGCCAAGAAACTCCTGTGATATGAAAGTTGATTAAGATTTCAATGTATTCACATTACTAAACAATAACTTAATATTGATTGCGCCTTACAAAAAGAAAAAAAATTCTTTATAACGGTCACTATAAATAACACTTCGTGCTTTCTATTTTATGAATCCTCGGTCGGTTGTTCAGTTTCTGATTTTATACCATATTTAATAGCATATATCTTTTCATCCGCGACAGTGAACCCGTAACCACAATCTTGAAATGCGACTATAGTGGAAAAGGAAAGATCTTTTAGTGAAAAAGACAAATCATAAGATATCACAAATAATTACCTGACACCCTGTTAATCGTGGTTGTTCTATTTTCATCCTCCTTTACATCTTTATTGGCGTCAGTATCGTACGAATTCGTGTTTTCTTGTTGTTTTGTTAATAAGAGATTTACATTTTGCAATAATTTATAGGCTGCAGTCGCATGAGTTTGTGTTATGTCTGGAGTGGCCTGTTCAGAAAATTTTCGATCATGGAAAATCAGAACATGGAAAAAATTGAAAAAATGAGAAGGCTCAAAAAACACACGTCTAGTAAAAGGCCATCTTCGAGGTTCACGGTGAACGAAGCAATATGGTTATCAAGACTCGAGAGGGAATCGAAATTTTCGTCTCTTTGTGTCTGAGGTAATAAAGATTATGGAATTGTTAAGATTATTCATTAATTCATACAAGAAAAAAAAAGAATAATTCACCATTTAAAAAGAAGCTGTAGTTTAAGAGAGTCGGCTGGTGGGTGATCACATAAGCATGAAAATAACGTGATTTGATATAATAAGTCGAGAATTTAAATATTTTTTTATATAAGTTATATACAGTGTGAAACAAAAATAATTGGATATTCAAATAAATAAATATATAATTTTTTTCTTCCACCTCAATTAACAGTGCTAGTATTACATGCTTGTCAAATATTGGAAAAATCAAAAACTAAAAAAACATTAAAATTGTTGTATAAGTTTACAAAGGAAAAAAAAATTAAGATTTATAAAAAATTCAAAATATTTTAATCTTTTTTTTTTTTTAATTGTAAACAGGCATTAGATATAAGATATTTTATTAACATATTTTATTAGTCATTATATCAAACATTTCACATTTTGCCAATAGTAAAATTAATACAAAGTGATCTTCCTAAATACATTCTTTACAAATGCACTTACTATATTTTCTTTCTCTAAATATACAGTCAAGCTTGATCTCAAATATATAGAATTTTTAATAAAATTATCTTCATAAATGCATACCATTTATGCACATTTTTCAAAAATTTTCCTATAGTTCCAAGAGGTATGCATTTAAAGAGGATTTACTGTATTATATTATTTAACTATTATTAACTAAATAAACAGTATAAGATCTATTTGATTGTTTTTATCAAAAATTTTTTTTAATTAATTTTGAATTGTTAAGTATAATTAATTATATATTTATCTTGTTATACAACTTTAATATATCCAGTTACAGTATATATAATTTTAAATATTAAGTAAATAATCTATATACCATATAAAACTTATATAAAAAATGGAAATCCTATTACTAGTTTAAATCATTTAACTTATTAGATCTAGTCTTGACTGTATTTGTTATATAAAATATATATTGTGAAATATTATTATAGAAATCAACATCAGTATTTCAATTACCGTATACTACTGCATACAATACCCCCCCAAATACTACCCCCCACTAATAATACCAGGTAGTATTCAAGAAAATTGTTGCTTGATAATTGATTACTACC